CTTCTTCTTCTTCTTCTTCTTCTTCTTCTTCTTCTTCTTCTTCTTCTTCTTCTTCTTCTTCTTCTTCTTTTCTTCTCCTCTCTTCTGTCTCTGTCTCTCTCAATTGCTTTGCATTACTTCGCACATTCTTTGTAATTACTTACTTATGTATGTCTTTTTCCCCTTAGGAAAATGTAAGCTCTTTGAAAGCAGGAAATTTTTCACTTTTTTTGTCTTTATGTCCCTAGACTCTAACACAGGACTCCCACATTTTTGTTTTGTTTTACTGGATCTGTGATTTCATTAGTAAAGGAAATTCCCAATACAAAAACTCCCTTTTCCAATGCAAAAACAACCCTGCTCAGCAACTAATCACCTTAAAGAGTTGCTCAGGGCACTGAGAGGTCAGGTCACTTACCCAGGGTCCCATCACCAGGACATGTCAGAGACAGGACTTGAACCCAGAATGTCCTGCTATTGTGTGTAGCCCTCTTTCCATTCTCCCACCCTACCCTTACAACTGCTTCTTATTCCTTGCCCACAGTAAATACTTAATAAACTCTTATTGAATTTAATTGAAAAGTGAAAAAGGCATCAGATTGGAAATCAGAAGACCCAGCTGGAGTCCTAGATCTACCATTAACTCATTGTGTGTGTGAGACCCTGGGCAAGTCATTTCCCATTTTTTGGTTTCTTTCCTTATTTGTAAAATGGAGGAGCTGGAATGGATGGCCCTTAAGGTCTCTGTAAGGTCTGATTTTCTGTGATTCTGTGACTGTCTATTATAGTAGAGACTGCACAGCAAAGCCACCCGAAGTAACTGGGATTTTTTCCAGAGAGAAGCCCCCAGATGTAGGAGTTTGTACAGCCAACTCCTACTCCTCTGTGGTGATGGAGGATGGGGACAATAAAATTAAGGTGACCAGATTTAGGACTAGACGTGACTTTAAAGGTGATCTAATCCAGCCCCCACATTTGATACATGGGACCACAGACATGGGCCCCAAAAGAACTTATCATCTAGTCCAATCCCCTCTTTTTACAGTTGAGGAAACTGAGGCCAAGAGGTGAAGTGGTTTGTCTAAGATCAGACACACTAAATATCAGAGCTGGGATTTGAACCCTAGTGCCCTAAATTCAAATCCAGCCTTCTTCCCACTGTACCATGGCTGATAAGGAAACTGAGGCCCAGAGAGAAAAGAAACCTACCCAAGGTCACCCAGCAGATCAGAGGCAGAGCTGAGACCAGAATCTAGTTCTCCTATCCCCCATTTACTCCCAGGCTAAAAAAACTCTTACCATTCCAGCTCCTCCATTTTACAAATAAGGAAAGAAACCAAAAAATGGGAAATGACTTGCCCAGGGTCTCACACACACAATGAGTTAATGGTAGATTCATAAGTTTCCATCCCAGAAGGATGTAGAGATGAGGAGGACGGCTTAGGAGGGTGATGAGGAACACTCCTGCAGGTGTGCTTACTTGATAGCACGAGCGTGTTATTTTAAGTAAATTATTCTCATTCTTTACTACCAACATGAAGTTTAAGTGATTTGTTATCAACATACTGAATCTGAGAGGAAATGGGGAGTGTCTAGTGGGACGGGAGCAAATAAGTCAGTAAGAGTTTTTTTAGCCTGGGAGTAAATGGGGGAAACTGCCCCTCCCCATTAATCAGTAGAGAATGCACATGGAAGGAAGGAAAGCAAGAAGGCAGGAGAGAAGGAGGGAAGGTGGAAGGAAGAAAGGAAAGAAGGAAGGAAGGAAGAAGAGGGGGATGTGGAAGAGGAAGACGAAGGGGAGGAAAGGGGGGGAAGGGAAATGAATGGAAGGCAAGAGAAGGCAAAGGAGGTAAGGAAGGAAGGAAGGATTTGGAAGAAGAAAAGAAAGGAAGGCAATGCCTGAAAAGGAAAGACGGGGAAAGGGAAAGAAAGAGAAGAGAAGGGAAATGAAGGAAGGAGGAAGGATGTGTAAGACGAAGAGGACAGGGAAGGAAGGAAAGGCGGGAGCAGGGAAGGGAGGGCAATAAAGGAATAGAAGAAGGATCTTTTCCATGTTTTCTGTCCTCTGGGGCTAGGGATTATGGCCAGAAGTTTCATTTCTGGACAACTCCAGGTAGAATATTTCAATCTCGAGTAAGGAATCCCAGTCTCAGACTTTCCCAAGTTGGGGTCCTTGTCTCTAGTTGTCACCCGCCTCAGGAAGGAAGGACTGACTGAGGCCCCGGCAGTCCCACAGTTAGGTCAAAACCCACATAGACAACATAAGTCCAGGGACCATCCAGAATTTCTGTGACTCCCTGGACATGTCCAGGACCTCCCTCTGCAGGCCCAACAAGATTGTGGTCATGGGAGTTTTGAGGGGATCAGTGAAATTTCTTTGAACAGTTTGAGGAGGCAAATGCCAACAGAATTCCAGATAATATTCCCACTAGTTTATCAGGACAGGCTCACAGCTCTTCCCTTGGTGACACCCTCATTCCATTCATTTCAACCACTGACTATGGTATCTCACCTTCCCTGTGGCCCTCCCAGACTGTGAGCTCCCTGAGGACGGGCCCCTGGTCTGCCAAGGCAGGGCCAAGTCCTATTCTTCCCCTCTTCCCACAGCAGAAGCAGGGACCTAGCTGGATCTAGAAGGAAAGACTTGTTGAATTGAAGAGGAAGCTAAAGATAACTAGAAAGTTATGGCACTGGGGGGCCATGCCCAGGGAAGAGGCAGAGGCAAGGAAGGGGTTGGTTGGCAGCCAGAAAACAGGAGGTGCCCCTGAGCACCCTTAGAATAAGCACTGTGCCCCTCTCCATCACCAGGTGTTCGTACTACCAAACACTTCCTCTGGCTAGCCCCCAGAAGCCCTCCTCCTTGGCTCCTGGCACCATCAGCTAGCTTTACCAAAGTGGTCACGTGCCCAGCTGTTCTCAGGTACCTCCACTCCCTCCTGTCCCCAGAGGGCTTCACGGAAGACAGGAGTTACTGAATCCACCACCAAAAGAGAGTTCAGGAGGGAGGGTGGGATCAAACAAGCCCAGACCAGCCCACCAAGGTTCATAGACGTGCAGGACCTCCCTCTCCTCATGCTGTGTATCTCAGAGTGCTGGGAAAGTGGTGAGGGGCAGGAGAGGCCTGGAATTGGGAGGCAGCTCCAAAAGTCACTAACTTTGCTTTGAGTGGGAGAAGGCTTTGAAGGAAGACTCAGGATAGTTTTCTGAAGTTCAGGAACAGTCATTCCCAAGTAGTGTTGGGGGAGTCAGAGGATGGCCAGAGTCACAGAATGTCAGGGCTGGGGATGAATCTTAGGATGCATCAAGCCCAGCCTCTTCATTCTATAAGGGAAGAAACTGAGACCCAAGGAGAAATGACCTACCCATTGTCACATATCAAGTTATTGGCAAAAACGAGACTGGAGTCTTCCATTGTGCCAAACTACAGTCATATTTCCTTAAGAAATAAGACTCCAAGAACGCTGAATTTGGGTTGATATGACTTGAATCTCCCCTTTGTGCTATCTATCTGAAAGGAGTTTGGTAAGCAAGTGGGACAATCAAGACTGGTAGTAACAGACAGGAGATGACTAGTTTATCAATGTGGGAGTCATTTCCCAATCAGCAGTCTAGGGGCAGTCAGATTAGAGATTTTAAAAAAAGGCAAAATCAACACCAAATTAGAAGACTATGAAAAATAGAAAATAGATCAAAGTAAGTCATGGACTCTGGTTATCATTGTCCCTTAGAGAATTTTAACTGATGACAAAAAGGGGTGGGGGTCACCACAAAGAAGCTGAAAAACTTCTTTGGAGAGGGGGAAGGGATAGGGTGGTCTAACAGTTTAGGGCCTCTTACAGGAGGTGACCTCTTGAGCTAGACCTTGAAAGGAGCTAGTGGTGAGAAAGCAGAGCATTCCAGGAATAGGGCACAGCCTATGCAAAAGCATAGAGGTTGGAGATGAACAAGAAGGCATGTTCGGGCTGAAATCTGCATTAGTGGAGGGATTTCCCGTACGTATTTCAAAATAACAGATCCACTGACATATTAAAGTATAAGGGAAAACTTCCTAACAATTTAAACTGTCACAAAGGGGAAGGAGCTTCCAAGAAGTAAGAAATTCCAAGCACAGCACTAAAGGTTAACGAAATGAGGTTGTATGACCCCATATCAGGAATGTTGTAGAGGGGATTCCCATTTGTGTGGGGATTGGATAAGAGGAGCTCTGAGATCTCTTCCAGACCTGAAACTCTATCATTCTAAATGAGAGGGTACATGCAATAGGGTAGGAGTGTGGTGAGACAAAGAGTGGAGAATATGTAGGAAAGATATAAAGAGCTTTGGAGTTCAGGGAAGGGAAGGGTTACTTCGAGCTTGGGAGAGATCAGGAAGAGGTAACCTCTGGGCATTGTGATTTTATATTAGAAGTTTTTTTCATTTTACAAAATATGTTTTCGATGCTAAGATTGAATATGATGGCTATTTGTTTACAATGGTCAATATTTGGCTACTGGATCAATAAATCAGCATCTGTAACAGACCAACACCACCAGCAACCATCTCCAGCCCTTTTAACTCACCCTGACATTCAATATGCTTTAGACATTCTGCTAAGAAAAAGCTAAAAACTGTGACTGTATCTATTGCCTGGTCCTCTGGGAGTTGTTAGAGTCAAGTATCATCTGTAAGATTCCCCCAGAAAAATGAGCAACTGATTTGTATTGGAGTGAAACGTGGCATTAAGCTATAAAATCCCACGCATTAAGGCAAGCCCTGGGCAAAATCCCAAGGCCAGGGAATTTTTTACTGGAGAATTCAGTCTTCATGTATCAGAGGATCGCAGACTATCAAAGCTGAGTGAAAACTGAGAGCATCGATCAAAGGGTGTCAGAGGTGGAAGGGATCTTAGAGCACAGACAAATAATTATGCATAGAAAGCAATAAATAAAAGTCAGGTATCTCATCTGAGTCTCTCAATGACCTTGTAAGATAGGTACTACTGGTATTATCTCTATTTTATAACTGAGCAAAGTGACTTCAGTTCTAACCCTAATCTCAATTTTAACTATCTCTCTAACCTTAATTCCAACCTTAAACCTGACCCTGACAGCAATTCCAATGTAACCTATAACTCTGGGGCAGACTGAAGTGAGCAGGAGATGATATAAGTATACCATCTGCTTCCCAACCCCCTTCGAGCCCCCATCAGTGTACCCACAGAAATACATCCACTAGGGCAACTGGAGTACTAAAAACCACCAATGAGAGTTTCTGTCTAAATGTTTAGGATGTGTTTTGGGCACCCAGCTCTGCTTCTGTATCTCTTGGTTGGGGAGCTGTCAGCTACCACCAGCCTCATTACAAGTCCCAGCAGATCCTCCTATAACTTCCTGCTCTTGTTCTCCCCTCATATCTTTTGTGAGAAGTTGCCTGCAAGGCAATATGTTTTCATATGTGTCTATATAATGTGGGTGTGTAAAAGTCATCATGTAACATGCACTGACAGCAGGTGTATACATGTGCAGTTACGTGATCGACACTGAGTGCTTCTCCGAGGAGCTGGGGAACATTTAGTGTGAGTTTCTGTGTAGACTCTCATCTCATTTACAGTGAGCGCAGGCTGGAGCTTGCCCAGAATATGCAGCTAAGTCCATTATTTGAATTTGCAGTACTAGGATTGGGGATTATATGCCAAAAAAAAATGATCATTGGTTCTAGCCCCATGGAAATAGGGCCTAGGAATTTGAATAATGCTACTACTTGGCAAGACTCATTCTCTAAAATTCAAGGGATTTTGAGAGTATCCTCAGAAACAGACCGTATAGAGAGGATTGAAGCTACCAGAGGTGTTTAGCTTGGAGAAGACGTAGGGAGAATGTGATCCTGGTCTTCAAGTTTTGGAAAGGCTATCATGGGGAAAAGTAATTGGGCTTGCTCTGTGTATGCCCAGGAGAGGAGTTAGGATCGGGAGGTAGGATGAGTGAAGAAAGCTGAATATTTGTCTCTCTAGAAGGAAAAACATCCTAATGGCGAAAGGTAGCCTAAAGCAGAATATTTCAGGGAGCACTGGATTCTCCCTCGCTGAGGTCCCCAGGCAGTGGCCAAATGACCATTTGTCATTCTTTGTTGGGTGCAGCATGGCCCCCGAGGTTCCTTCCTATCTGAGGCTCTGCAACCCTCCACCTGGCTCACAAGTCAATCGTGTGGAGTGATCCCTCATACATTTGCAAGGGATCTCAGAGGGCTGGAAGCAAGAGTCCTTTCTCCAAAATCCCCCAAAGGGTGATATAGTCTCCGTTGGAAGACCTCCGGTGACAGGAAACTCACTACCTTTCAAGGAGGTCCATTCAACTTCTGGGCGGCTCTACTCAGCAGGAAGGTTTTTATATTGGGCCAAAATCTGCCACCTTGTAACTTTCCCCATATGCTTCTGGATTTTCTTCCTGGGACTGAGAGGGATGACTTAATCCCTCCTTCTCAACAGTAATCACGTCCGTGCTAAGCCAGCAGCTCTTTCGATCCTAATGTGGCATGTTCTATTTGAGTCACTTTCCTTTGTCAGTTTGTCCAGGTAGACAGGGGCTCTTAATCTTTTGTGGTCTTGGACCCACTTTGGCAGGCTGGTGAAGCCTATGGACCCCTTCCAAGAATCCTGTTTGTAAATGCATGAAATAAAATGCATATGGGGGCAGCTAGGTGGTGCAATGGATAGAGCACCAGCCCTGGAGGCAGGAGGAGCTGAGTTCAAATCCAGCCTCAGACACATAACACTCACTAGCTGTGTGACTCTGAGCAAGTCACCTAACCCCAATTGCTTCACCAAAAAAAGAAAAAGAATGAAAGGAAGGAAGGAAGGAAAAAAGAAAGGAAGGAAGGAAAGAAGAAAATGCATAGACAGGATTACAAAGGAAACCAGGAAAAGTGAAATATAGTTATAATTTTTTAAAGGAAGTTCACGAACCCAAGGTGAGGAGCCCACAAGAGAGGCATTTGGGTATAATGTACAGAGCGCTGGACTTAAAGGGAAAGAGATGTGGGTTCCAGTCCTGCCATGGAAACTTACTAGCTCTGACAGGCTTAGTTTTCTCATCTATAAAATGGAAATAATAGCACCTATCTCACAGTGAGACATTTAAAGCGCTATGTAAACATAAACTGCTACTATCCTTGTCATTCCTGTTCAAAGAGTCACAGATTTTGAAAATTGTAAAGGATTTTAACAGGCATTTCATTCAACCCAGACCTAAAAGAAATCCCAACTTCAATATACATATACCTCCAAGGAGAGGAAACTCACCACCTATCAAGGTAACTCATTATTGAATAATGTCCTTCTCACCATGGAGTGCCCTTTCCCCTTCTACCCAGCCTGCCTCCTCCAGGGAGCCTTCTCTGAATGCCCCCAGACACGTATCTGTTTTCACTGACCTACCCGCACTGAATGGCTGGACCACCACACAGACTCTCCAGGTCATGGACAATTCCAGGTAAGATGTTAGCAGCAAATAAAAGTGTTTCTCCCCAGAGCGTGCATGTAAACAGAGGACAAGGCCTCCACCCAAAGGAATGAGTGAATTAATGCAATGTCAGATTGGCAAGGAGAAAAATATTTAGGGGGGAGGGGCGCCTCCTCACCTTGGGCCTTAAAATCTACACACACCCTACCCTGCAAAGAGAGGAGGGAGGAGGCTCCGTCCTAGGCCTGCAGATCTGGCCCTAAGGGGGCCGCTCTCTGGCCTCCACCAAAGCTGGGCTGGACCAGAGCCAAGCCAGATGGTATCAGACCTGTTCCTACCTGCATACCTGCCTGTCCTTGACACAGGAATGAACAGAAGCCTCCACTTTCTCATCCCCAAAAGCCACCGCCCAAGGAACACCTTGCATCCCCGTGTTCCCGGGCTCTGGAAGCTCTGAGTATGTGAGCCAGACCCCAGCGTGCCTACAGGCATGAATAAGCTACCCCACCTGCTCTCTTCTGGGGGTAATGCCAGCTGCCAGGGGTCTCTGTCATATATAGCTTATGTCATTCACATTCATACGGCGCTTTAATGTTAGCAAAGTATTTTCCTCACAATAATCTTTTGAGGCAAGAAATATAAGTATTGTTCCCCTTATTTTATACAGGAGAAAACCGAGAATCAGATAGCTCAAACATCTGATCCAAAATCACATGATCATTAATAAATATCAGAGTCCAACCTTCCCCCTCAACCATTCCTTTGCACTCCCCTAGCCCCAGTTGAGACCAAGCCAAGAAGTTGAACATCTTACCTGTCCACTTTCTTCCACAGAAATCCTCTCACCCACTGATTCTCTGCTTAATCTCATTTCCCAGTGGTTAGCAAACTCCCAAACCTGCTTACTTACCAGTCCCTGCCATACTGAGTCCTTTACTGTCAAAGAGTAAATCCTCCCCAGTCCCCACTGTCCCCTCTCTCATCCCCATCCACCTCAATTTTACCTCTCCTTGTCCCTCTCCAAATCTGGCCACCCTTTCTACTGCGCCCTCTGGAACTCCCATTCTATAATTGACAAATGATTCATTGTGGAACTCTTTCTCTCATGCTCATTCTATCTTCTGGCATTCACCAATACCTGACTTGCTACAAGAATATACTACATAGCCCATCACCCTTTCCAGCCTTATTACACTTTCCCTCATACTCCCAACTCACTGGTCCCAGAAGGGAAATTGAAATACTTTTTGCTTCCCATTGCCACTCTCTCTTCACCACCATCATTCAGCAACATCTTGTCCTTTGAGGTTCACTCTGCCCAAAAGGATCACCCATTCCAAATCTCATGGGCTATTATGTACCAACCCCCAAGACATTTTCCCTCCTTCCTCAATGAGTTTAGTGTCTGGTTCTAAGACTTCCTCTCCATTCCAACAATTCCTGACCCTGTAACTAAAATTCTGTTGATGAATTCCCTTTATACCAAGAGTACGCCATCATGTTCATTAATGGAGAGGAGTCTAGTTTGGTTGGCACATAGACTGAATATGGACTAATATGAGGTAAGGTTGGGAATTTCACTTTACTCAACGGGCAAAGGAAGCCGCTGAAGAAACACCACACCTCTCTCACACAGAGAGGTATAACTACAATGTGACAATTAAGGGTTTTGCTCTGTGGCATGGAATTTGGAGGGCACCGACAGAACCTTCAGTCCTTTGGCAGCTGTTTAGTACCTAGTTAGCAAGAATAATTAGTTAAAATGTGAAGTCACCAAATATTGGACTGGTTTGAGCTTCTTCTCTTCCCTGCTCTGCTTAACTGAAGATAGCTTCAAGCCACTTAAACCAGCCATGGTCTGTGATACTTGACTGAGGCACAAAATTCCAAGTCACAACTTTGTATAGCTCCCCTTGACTCCAACTCTGACATTCTACCAACTCCATCACCAGCTGCCTAACATTTCTATATAGCACTTTTAGGTTCACAAAATACTTTACAAACCCCATCTCTGTCCAAAACAGAGCTTGGTATTTTTCTTCCTTAGTGTGCCCCCCCATTTGACTTTACTATTTCCATCTGGTACTAGCAATTCTTATCCCCTCCCATGTCTGAAACCCCAGGATTGACTTCAATTTTTATTTCCTCCCTCTTTCATTCATCATGTAATATTGTCTGTGTTAATTATCTATGTTACTATGTGCCTCGCCTCTTAACTAGGCTGTGAGCTCCATTAGAGGAAGGGCCATTTCTTACCTTCATTTTGTGCCTCTCCCCAGAGCCTAGCACAGGGGGATGAACAGAGTACTTAGGGAATATTTTTTTGAATGAGCAAATGAATGAATCTTCCATGTTGTCTCTCCCAGATAAGGAAAGACAACCCACTACTTCATTTCTCATTATCCTCAAGGCTCCTGTTGCCAGCCCCCAGCCTCCTAGAAGCCTTTTTGAAAAGGTGGGATCCCCTACCCTGGTCCAAGATGGGAAGTGCCAGCTGTGGGGTCCTACAGTTCATCATTTCCTACAGGAACTTCCAAAAGATAACAAAAGACAAGCAGAAATTAGGAGCAAACAAAGCCGAGGCACCCTGCATGAAGGATGCTGAGGAACGCCAAGGCAAGGCCCAGACAATAGAGAATCAGGGGGTTTGTCTGGGAGGAACAATGCCTATAATTGCAGATTAACCCACATAAAGGGTTGTCTCCATTCCAACATCATCAACAGTGCATGGGTCCCTTGGAAAAATGAGAGCCTCCCAGGATGTGCTTGGCTTGTTATTCTAGACAAAGGGGTGTGGAAGTAATAATAAATAATAACAATGCAACAATTAAAAAAATGCCTCAGTACTTTAAGCATCTGGAATTTCATCCACATGGGTACTCCTTCCATTGACGCAGATCATGGCCCCTACAGGCATTCTTACACAGTCTTTGGGAGCTACTCAGGTAGTCAACCCAATGATGAGCATCTCAAGTTAGGCTGGCTGGCACTCAGACCACATGGTCTTTTACCATGCCCATAGCCAAAGCCTTTCTAGCTTGCTAAGAGCTAAGGATCACAGATTTAGAGCTGGAAGGGACCTTAGAAATCATCTAGACCAACCTTCCTCATGTGAGGAAGAATGAAGCCCAGAGACATAAACTAACTTGTGCAAAGTCACGCAGCATTAAGTGACTTGCTTAAGGTCACAAGTGACACGTCTGGGAATTGAACTCTCATCCTTTGACAGCAAATCTAGCATTCTTTCTGCTGTGCCACGCCAACCTGCCAAACATTGTATTCTACTGGCATCCCTTCCATGAACCCAGGGCTACCTGCAGGACAGGAAGAAGCAATGAATAGGGCTTTAGTGGAGGAACAGCAATAACTACATGGCCACTAGGTGGCACCATAGTGCACAGAGCACTGGGCCTGGAATCAGGAAGATTCATTTTACTGAGTTCAAATCTGGCCTCAGACACTTCCTAGCTGTGTGACCCTGGACAAGTCACTTAATGCAGTTTGCCTCAGTTTCCTCATCTGTCAAACGAACTGGAGAAGGAAATGGAGAACCACTCCAGTATTTTTGCCAAGAAAACCCCAAATGGGGTCATGAAGAGTCAGACACAACCGCAGCAATTGAACAACAACCTAGACAGTAAGCGTCAGAGCCAGGATTTGAATCCACATCCCCAACTCCAAATCTAGAACTTTCCCCCTACACTACCCTCCCCAATAAGTGGTCATCCAGCCGAAAGACCTCCAAAGAGGAGGAGCCCATTACCTCATTGAGGCAGCCCAGTTGGCTCTGAGACAGCTCAAACCATTACAGCATTTTTCTTTCCATCAAGCCTAAATCTTCTTTCCTGTAATTTCTCTTTGTTAATCCTGGGTCTGCCCTCTGGGGCCAAGCACAGCAAACCTAATCCCTCTTCTCCAGGACAGCCCCTCGGTCTGTGACCCAGCTCCACCCATGATTTGCTGGGCAGCTTTGGCCGTCTCTTTCCCTCTCTAGGTTTCTGTTTCCTTATTTGTAAAATGAAGGGAGCTGGAACAGACACACTGTAAAATATGCCCCCTGCTCCAGGTAGAGCTCCCACCATTGTTTGTTTGATGCTGTTTGTGCTCATAAAGAAGAGTCTACCCATATGTTTCTAATTCTCATAGCCAATTCATGGAAATAGAGTTGCTTAAGGAGTCCTGCTGTCCAAAAAGCCTCCCACACTCTGTGTTTAATGAATCTTCACGCCTTTATTTTGGGAGCCTCGTCTGCCAAAAAAGAGGGCATTCCCAGTGCCCAAGGTTGAAGTTAGGAGAGAAACAAGGTTCCATATGGCACACTGTAATCCCATGGAAAGAACACTGGGTCCAATATCAGAAGGTCTGAGTTTTAGCCTTAGCTCTGCAACTAATTCACTGGGGATCCCAGGGTGGGGAGGGGAGGGAAGTCCCTTCCCCTCTTTGAGCCCCAGATATAAAATGAAGGAGTTGAGTTAGATTATCTTCAAAACCTCTCCTTAAATCTTCTAAAACCTTGAATTTTTGTTACACCTGGGCCTCCTTTAACATGTAGACCCCTACAGAAAGGCCAACCCAGGCTCTGTAGGTCAGTCTTTACTCAAAGCTATTGATAGCTCAGGCTCATGAGCACCCACTGATGGGTTTGCCTTTATTAGACAACCAGAGGACATTTAATCAAATAGCATAGCAAATAAAGTTATAGGAAAAGAGGCACACACCCTTTCTAAACATGCAGACATAAGGCATGCTCTCCTATGGGTTACCGTACTACCAGCAGAAGATGGCACACATCTAGGAAACCTGCGGCCAGGGAACAGGCATGAAAGGGCTCACATCTGGATCTCATGTGGTCAGGGTCCATGTGGGGTAGCCCCACTGGTCTTATAATTTCTGAAATGTTCTCTGTTGGACTTTAGATCCTTAGCTTCTTCAGGACAATCTGCTGCTTTCTTCTACCAACTACTAAGATGAAATGGTTAGGAAGCCTCTTTCTGCCAGGGACAGCCTTTACCTTTTGGTAAATAGCTGAAGACTTTGAATCACCGTTCCTATC